TGATAGGCAATTTACATATGGAGATTAACTATTGTCTGAGATATATAATACAATATAGAGTATACAATATATTGAGTAGTCCGAGAATTGTTCTGTGTTTCATTATCACGAACAACCGAAGAGCAAAACACTTCATCAACTTAAATGAATTTTCGCTTCTTAGGGTAATTTCATTTAACGTAATGAAGATAAAGTACTGCCAGAGACACACTACATGATATATTGAGTACAGTACATCGAGTATATATAGTACCTAATACATACAGTACCCAATACGCTGACTATTGTCAAAGAACTGCGCTGTATTTCGGTATTAGGAGCAACAGAACAGCAAAACTTTTGATCATCTAAACGAGTACTGATTTTTCAGGGTAATTTGGTTTAACGTTATGTGGATAGAGTATTGCCCGTGATATAATACATAATATATATTTAGTATAGTCCAAGCATTATGCTGTTTCAGGACAACAACAGATGATCAAAATACTTTATCATCGTAAATGAATGTTTATTTCTCAGGGCAGTTTCGCTTAACATTTCTTATATTTTCTTTTTTACCTCAATTTACTCTGCAAGATTTAACAGTAAACGTTATAACGTCATACAAATATGACTGGGTCAAGTTTCCAGCATTGTACAATCCATTTTGATGGAAAACTCACAGACAGAAAGAGATGGCTTGCGACATGAAAGCAATAACGGTATGCAACCTATTTGTCCAACGATTATCGACATTTCACATAAGTCCGGAAACTAATCCAAAAACAATTTCAAACATCATTCACTGTGGCAATTCTGCGAACAAAATGTTGTCTAGCCTTAAACGACAGTAAACCAGATGTGCTCAGATGAACTTATAAAATTATATCTCTTCCTGTCAACTGTCTCCACATTTTTCGATCTCTGGCCATATCGTCGTTAACTCCTCGCAGATGTTTCATATTGTTTTTTACGACATGACGCCACTGTTTCTTTGATCTGACCCCTGTTTTCTTCCCTGGAAGTACTAATGCTTTTGGATCCCATTTCCAAGCGCACTCCCGCTTTCGATCAGTTTTTCCGTATTGAGGCAAAACCTGAAATGTATCTTCTAAAGGCATTCCTCATGAAGTTTATTTCGCTGACACCATACATGAGTACATGAGTACCTGCGTTTCTACGGAGTTCTGTGTTGATCGTGTTTCTTTAGAATATCGAACAATTCCATTCCTTACAGAAGTACCAGCACGGAAAAAAACGAACGTACACAAATTAAACAGCATAAAACAGTCTATGAGAGGAAAACGAACCTGCGTTGGAAACGACTCCAGCAACAACCAGCCTTCTACACAAGACATACCTTGAAAATTGCGGGGGACAAAGGTCGCATCTTGGTACCCCTCACCATCTGATAGACCACTGCGTGCGTAACAAATAAACTGCATGTGATGCTGTACTGTAGTACTTTTTACAAAAAATACAAATTAGGTAAGAAGCATATACAACTTAAGCTGAACGAGACACTTCAGTACAGCTTATGAGCAGATATTTCAACCAACATTTCAGTTAATCTCCCACTATATTTCAGTCTAAACCTACAAATTTCTATACAGCCCGAAACAAAGGAGGACTAACCTACCTGAAGAAAACAACTGTGCAGCTGATCAGAAAAAAATACGACGTCAATATGTCTTATTTTGCATTTTTCAGAACTGACACGCATCGATATTTGATAACGATGAAAAATCTTTACTTGTCCTCAAAATCTCAAAACCAGTTTCAGAAGTATAGCCGTACGTCAAGGATAAAACTGAATTTTCATATTCTGCTCCGCAGATTCAGGACAAAAAACTTCATACTGCAGTAATTTTCCCTTAATTTAGGAGACACAGGAATTTATAATGATGTACAGCAAGCAAAACAACAAGAAGGACAACAAAAGGATTACTCCAAAAATATTTGTCAAGCTACCGCCTTGGCACTTTACGAATAACGTAGGATATTACGGTAGGACTGTAATGAGATGTTCGAATTATTTCTCAGTACTGAAATGCACCGTAATGTGGAAATGCACAATACATTTTAGGAATATTTAAGAGCTATGTTTTATATAGTAGCGGGAAAGAAAAAGAAATATAATTAAATTACAAATCACAAAAAGAAAACTAACTTGATGTTGAAAATTTTTTTGCCTCGTCATTAGCGTATATTTCTTGTACATATATTAAAACTGACAATGCGCCCATTTCCATTTGATGCTAGTGAAGCGACTAAGCCAGATTCTACAGTATCTTTAGCCACATTATTGTTTTTAATTGTACACAGGTCATTTTATTATGTTATTGTGTAGTATATATAAAACCCCGAGTTCTAAAGCACAGTTCGTGATAAACAATAGATGGATCTAATAACCAAATGATCCGAGATTCGTAATGATGCGATGCAGTATTTATATTTTCCAAAACCATGTTGTGTCTAGATGCATTTTAATGGACCAGAAACATTGTGACTCTGCAGCACGCCGCGTGAACCAGTTTTTAAAATCCAAGCACTCTCTAATACATTACAATGTATCCTGTCATTTTTTAAATTTCTGATACTGTGTTGCGCGATTACCATGTAGGTAGCATTTTATGTCCATGAAATCGCCCTGAACCAGACTGACATTTCGACTTTGGTTAATGAAGAGAAACCTTGAATCATTAAGAGAGATTTTCACGAATTTAAAAGTTGCTCCCAGGTACTATTGTTTGCAAATGTCATCTGAACAGAGGGCCCTAAAGTTGAAACCAGATTAATCGGAATGCTGCCAAAACAAAAGAAAATATTGTATGCATCTATGTGTTAGTTTAGCTTATCAGACGTGCCGTTGTCAGTAGCATCGCCTAGCTGAATGCCGCTCGCCTTCAGCAACAAGTAAACACTTCTGATAGCTAGCATGAAACTTTTATATATCGCTGATGGATTGGATTTCATATAAAAATGTTGAGATAACACTTCCAAATAAATTGTGAAAGTCCGTTCATTTGAATCTTCTTACGCGTGAAACGTTTGCGACATGCATAAAGTGGCTATTTTTCTGTGCATTTCACTGGTAAGTGCTGGATATTATGAAGATCAATATGCAAATCTGAAAGCAGACATAGCGAGAAAAAACCGGAAAATTACTTGGAAGGTAAGAACACAAGCCATTTAATTCATTAAATATTTAGAATGTCATCGGTTTCGAAATTTGTAAGAATGTTAATGGCCAACTTTACTTCATCATATTTCAGAATAGTCTTTTTCAGTGAAAAGATTTCATAATAAATTCCTTAATCTTATTATTATTTCCGAGATAAGTATTTAATAACCGTAGTCAATTATACCTAGAATTATAGTCAGATAAATTTGCATGCACTTGAAATTTTATTAGCGATATGACATGTACCAATGGAACGTGAATTGATTGCTAATGCCGGAAGCTAATTTTCAAAATTAAAAAATTATCTTTATTTCTTATTTGCTCAAATCTTTCACCAAAACATTTATCACAGTAGTAATGAACTGCGAGGTCTAATGATTTGCATAATATACTTCGCGTATATGAGATGAAAATGACAATTTAGCATGGCCTGAATGAATACTTCAAAGGAAAATCAGACGACGATATTCAGCGACTGTACGGCACGTTCCCTTCTGTTGATCAATCGCCAAGTCTTCCGGTGCAATCTGCCAAGTCGCTAATGCTACTGCCGCGGAATTTTGACTCCAGAGAAAAATGGCCTTACTGCAAGTCGATGAGGCAAATACGAGACCAGTCGAGCTGCGGCTCCTGCTGGGTGAATACATTTGTGCGATGTTCAACACTAAAATGCATTTTAAGGCTGTCTCATCTGCATCAGTTATGTCGGACAGGGAGTGCACTGCGTCTTCCGGGCGTTTACAGCCGTACTTGTCTGATGAATACATCAATGCTTGTTGTCCAGGTTGCTTTGGGTAGGACAACTTGTATTAATTTTCACGTATCATTGATACTGGTGTTAAGGCTGCATGGTAATTTTCATTGTATGCAATCAAATAACTGTGCTGTATTTTGACTATGAAACAATATTGCGCCCTCTTCATCATAGCGACTGAATTTATAGTGAACATGCAATTCGTCGTTCTGTAATAGTGGTCGAAGTGGACAATAGCGTCGGATTGGCGATAGCTATCTGCAAATCTAGGTATACTCTTTAGTTCAGTGTTTGTCATGAGTGCTCTGGATATTAGCCGTAGGGTCTTAAGCGCTTCAGAAGATAGCCGAAGCGATATTCGATGCTTATGCATCTTCTGTTTCCATGGTCAACAGCATGAAAAGCAGAGAAAATCCTTTATGTAATGAATGATTCATTCTTGGATGATTACCGATGGCAGCTTAGCCGAAACGCCGGTATCTCGATTAGTCGAAAAAATTTTGCCCTGATAACCATGCAATCAGAAGAATTATGAGGTCGAAGTACTCCACGGTTCAGTGTCGACATGAGTTTAATGAGTTAATTAGAAAGAATGTTCTTTCGAATAACTTTTTATGAGGCGAAGCTTTGCAAAGTTCGGCATACCATTCTGGGAGTCCTCTTTCACGCAGCTGTTTTCATTTAAGCTGAAGGCACAGCAGATTATTTGCATTGCAGCAATGTTAGAGAAGAAGTTTGTAAGATGTAATTTGTCGTTGAAGCTGCACAGCAGGCAGACAATGGACAGATTATAGGTTGGATGGGAATGAAACACTTATTACCGAGTATTGCTTCTCATCTCAATACCATTATTGAAGCTTTCTGGCATGGCAGACTTATTCTTATAACTTCTTAAGGCATACAGTTATGCAGTCCAGAATAATATGCAGCTATACGGTAGAACTGCATGTGTAGGCAAAGTTGTAAACACAAAAATTATGATCAATACAGTCGTAGTCCGTTTTTCTGCTTCAACAGATTTAACATTGCTAACAAGGAAAGGATGTTACATTTCTGCATAGGAAAGTGAAAGAGTATTACGCGGGCGAGAAAACAATGGTCATCTATTCTATTCAAAACCTGAATTTCGTCCTACGGTTGGTTGCTTAGCCGCTCTAGCGAATACCACGTTACGATTTTAATAATTCTTAGTGAAACAGTGAAAAATTTGAAGAATAGCTATGCACTAATCATTGGGAGGTCATGATGGTGAGCATCGTGTTTATTTCGTGCCTCAATATTTGCTTATGAATGTATCATGGCATATTTTGTTAAGGTGTCGAGGAGGATGGCCTGAATTAGCTTTCCGTTTCTGGGTGAAAAACGGTGTTCCGACAGGAGGACCTTATGGTTCAGTCGACTCTTGCCAGCCTTACTCCATTCAATGCAAGAACTGTGTGGTAAAAACTCCTCGTTGTGAGCAGCACTGCATCCCAACATATGCAATTCCTTTGACAACGGACAAATATTATGGTAAGCGGAGGAAGTATTCAGCACTGATCTTTCACAGAAACAAGCATTTCTAAACAAAACGTGATTAAATTTAAAAGTGTTGAAGGTGCATGTTTTTTCTAAGTAGTTCGTGTTGATCTATGAAACAAAAGGATAATGAATAATGTCATTTGCCCTTGAAATTTCATTTTAGTTAAATTCATAATATTATGCTATTCTAAACATTTCGCTAGTTAAATTCCATTCAATTTCACGTTCAAAAGTATGCAACGATTATTGCCCATAGTCATGCAGCCCGAGAAACACAAACATCAGAAATTAATCATGCATTTTTCAAAAGTTAGTGAAATATATAAAAATTTGGTTTAGTTTAGCTTCACTAATCCAAAATCGTTATATTTGTTCCTAATTGCGTTCTTTCTCTGTATATAGAATATTTGTAGCACATCCTACGGATGATATTTAAGCGATTTCTTGCTGGTTCGCAGATCGCTAGACATGATTTCAGGAAAATATGGATTCCAGTTTCATAATCTTGCCGTTACGACAATCTTATCATAGTTAGCTTAAAGCCAGGGCGGAAATTCTGAAAATAAAGAAAAAATTCTGAAAAGTAAAGCTGTTTCAGGTCAACCATCCACGCAGCGAATCTATCTCTTATTACAGAAATCGTACACGATTTACCATAAGGATTAGCTTGCACGGCAATCAGTGTCCTTTCCCGTGGAATAGGATAAGAAGATAACAAAGTAAACAAGTGATATTGTCACAGTAACTAGCCTGTAAGTACTTCCACACGAATTATGATAAGAAAAATTTCATCAATGACAGATGTGTTTAAACGGAAGATTTTTGACTCATCCACCACTGGCATTCTCTGAGTTCTAGTATCTGTTGAACAACACAGTTGAATTATGCTAAATTTTTTCTCTTTGTTTTTCCACAATCTAAGGTCAATGGAGCTTAAATAGCAGAGCAACCCGGGCTTGCGATCTGTTGGCGTTAAGAATAGTATTTGAGATTAATTTTAGGCAAAGAGAACTGCTGCAGCAAAAGTCGTCTTCTTTGCAATCAGGTCTGCCTGAACGAGGTTTCGAGGTTTACGTTTCATATTGTCCTCTCACGCGTCTGCATTTAATGCGAGATTCCAAAAGAGAAGATTTTAAAATATATTTTCACCCTCTTTTTGGGCCGTTTTATCAAACAAAGCCAGGCGTCAGTCTCTGCGTATATCTGACAGTTTTCTCAGATCTGTAGCATAAGCACCTGTTCGTTCTTGACCCGATGTTACGATCGCGTTTTGAGAATGGTGAGTAAGCAGCGTTATTGGAAGCTGTCGGAACGAGCTTCATGAAGCTTCAAGACGGTAGATATTAAAAGAATGTTCATGAGCACCGCTCTGTTGCCTAGCTGCTTTTCCACAATGTCACTACCGTAATTTTCGTCGATTTGCATTTCATCGTGACGTCTACCTTACACGTCTTTATTTTATTTTATTTTTTATTTTGTCGTCCTTTCATTACATTAAGGAACGACTGATTGGTTGCTCTAGGCAGGAAGTAATTTAATAGTTCAGTTATTCACTTATTCGTTCATTCATTCATGCTTTTAGTCATTAATTAATCGGTCGACTCTTTCATTCACTCTTTCATCAACACTTACAACACATTAAATGTACTGTGGCCTCGAAGAATGTTCACCAGATGGATCAATGATTTTTTTGTGACTGGCCTCCCAATGCAGGATTGCGACGTATACAAGTGGAAGCGTGGCACCTCGGAGAAAAGAAAACTGTCGTCAAGAGATGAGACCTCATCAACTTGATTTCCTGTTTTCGATGAACCTCTTGATTCCTCACCTATTCGAAACAGTTGAGAGGTTCATTTGCATTTATGACACATTGCAAGAAAATATTTAATAAGTGTGTTTATATCATGAAGCTGATATTCAGGCGAAAGTGCATACATCGTTCGCGGAGGTATTCCAGCTTATATGGAAGAAATTTTCAAAAACGGACCGGTCGTTGCGTCGTTTAAAACTTATGAAGATATTCATTATTACAAAAGTGGTACTATTTTAAACTTTAAAAGGACGCATACCAAAGAATAACATATGCTTGCAGGAGTTTATCAGCATCTGTGGGGTAAGCGACGCGGCGCTCATGCTGTCAGAGTGATTGGCTGGGGTATCGAAGATGGCGTACCGTATTGGCTTGTTACGAATTCTTGGAATACAACATGGGGCGAGAAAGGTACGTTTAAAAATTGATGCCTTTGGTGAAATGTGGGATGCTAACAAGAATGTATACAAGATTGCAATGGGTCCTATTTAACTTCTTTCTGCGGTAGTTGTTGCTGTTGCCATCGCCACCTGGGGTATCAGAGTAAACGATAGACTACCAAGATTAATGTCTGAGGAAACGATGTCCGTGGTCGTCGAACTAATGCTTAAAAGAGTATACCCTTACATCATAGCAAGTGGTCGAAGTTTGGCAACAGAATTGCAGGAAATGATTGAGCTGTTCAGTGTCGGCATTTGTTTCAAAGCCCATTTGTACATGCTTATAATGATGGCAATGGATAATACTGCTTAACACTGTTTCAATTACAGCTTCCAAAAATTCTTGTTCTTTAAACTTCTGCTTCTTATTGCGAAAATTGATTTCATTTTTCTATAGGCTTGTTCAAAATCCTAAGAGGAGCGAATGAATGTGGGATTGAAAATAAAATGGTGGCCGGAATGCCGAAGAAAAAATTCGCTTGATCAGTTACATCTCTCACATATACAAGAGTTTACCACTATTCTACATATTTAAATTTGTTTCGTTAATACAGTCAATATCAAATGAATGAAACAATAAAATAAAATACAGTAAATTTATTCAAAAAACGGTTTTTGGTACGACAGAATTTATATCAGATAGTAAAACGCTTTCGGTTTCCAAAGCAAAAACCATCATCAAGAAATTTCGCCAATAATGCAGTAATTCTAGAATTACGATAGACAAGTAAGAAAAATTTTAAGCAGCGAATGGCGTTCAGATTAAACGTAAGAAATATGACGCGGAATCGAAAGCAAAAGAAATACAAGATGGCTTGAAGCAAAACAGTTAAAAACTAAAAGTAGGACATTAGGCAACTCCAGGCTTATAGGTTATGTACAGGTTTCCTTTTTAAGCGAAAAATTCTAGGGTTTTTAAGCATGGAGTACAATTCGTCGTCTTTACAGTCAAGAACTGCTATTTCTTTGCTGATACAACTGTACTTTCATTCTAAAGAAACTCAGAAGTATCATATTTTCTAACGGGTTCCGACCGAAACCTTTTGGTATTCTGTATTCCATACCTTGAGGGGTCAATTGGCCGTTTTCGATATTAACCCTATCACTCTTAGCTCAGTAAATTATATCAGCCGATTTAGCTTTGTTAAGCGTAACTAAGGTATTTCAACTTCTTATGTGAAATGGGATCAAGCTATTCGTAGTTCTGCAAGTAAACCAGGTTTTGTTTTCAAAAGGTGATATTTAAAAACAAGGAAATATTAGAATTAAAGGTGATGTAGATGATAAATTTTTGCGCCAGCCATATTTCTGAACAGAAATTTTGAGTTGAAGTAAGAATGCAGGTATCAGCGGAGTATTCTATTTATAATAACTCGTCTATAATAGAATGACAGGATCAGTACAGTTTCTAGAACTCTAAAGTTCATGCTCATAAGCATAAAAAATGAAGTACTGAATAACGTAGTTGCTTTTCTCTTAAGTTGCAATATGACAAATCTGTCGATGTTTGCCGATCAGTTGTGTGATATAATCAATCTACTTAAATGTGACAGTTTCATAAATTTTGACTGTGTTGTTCTGTATTAACGTAAAAAAATATTGAAGTTTATTGAATTTTTTATGTTTCCACTACTCGATTAAAATTACTCGTAATTTTGTTTATTTACAGTTATAACCAATTCATTTTTATTTTTGACAAAATTACTACAAAAACAAAATATCAATGGAAGGATTTGCAAAAATTGCCAAATTAACTTAATTCATTCCTCATCAATCTACGCAAACGTTGATTTGCTGTCGACGAGCTGAAAGCCATTCGATGGTTTCAGAGGGAAAATCTTGCCTTTGCCAAATATTATGCAGCCCCAATATCCTTGAGCAGCCAGGGGCACAAAAAGCAGACAAATTTCACTAACAGTATGGTCACAGACCACATATGATTTTGAAAATTTATGTAGCTGCGTTGATGAAGGAAGACCTGTTCGACAGCCCACTAATAATGTTATGGTACAACACGTTGAAACTGACCAACATACTTAGATGGCACATATGGAACGGTTCGTGACTCCTATTCCTCGTTTTCGACTGAAAATAAATTAATATTTGTAACGTTTAGATACAATTAGGAATTACTCTTTGAATAGACGACGACTTGTTCACAGGTTTGGGAAAATATGTGCGAAAATACGGAAGAGAGCACCAAACTTGCGGAAGCGACAAGAAACGCTGATCCAGCAGTGCTAAACAAAATCAGCCGTGCCAACGATATCTGAGCCTAAACATCCACGTAAAACAGTTTACTGACTGACGAGAACAAAAACCTCAAATGAATATCCGTTGTGCCTTATTTGGAACCATGCACCTCGCGCCGAAGCATTGTTCTTCGCGAATGATATCACTTGTTGCATTTCTGGAGAAATGGTGCTGTCCAGAAGAAAATCACCCACATGAGTCATCTGCGAAATCGGAGCGTTAGAAGGTATCAATGTCCTGAGAAAAATCAGAGATGGCAACAATCAACAAAATTGTCATACACTAAATTTTACATGTACGGTTGCAGATTTGAGAAAATCTGCAAGCTGGCATGGCATTCCCAAACATCATTGAATTTTTTCGCACAATTACGAACTGAAGAAAGCAGGAAATTCGTTTTTTGCCCATTTGTCGCAGCTGAAGCAAAGTCAAATTACAGTTGACTGCTGATCAAACATAAATATAATCTCAAAAGAAATTATAAATTCAGAAATACGAACAGCAGTTATCGAAATTAATGGCTGGACGCAAAAATAGGTCTAAACAATCTAGCAACAAAAGAAAAAACTTATCTGTTTAGGCAACGCAACTGCAATCAGTATTTTATAAAAAACAATATAAAAGAAAACAAATAAAACAGCAAAAAAAACAAACAATCTAGCAGCAAGAATCATTATCGCCTTCAGTGCCATGAACGGAGATTGTAATTACAAAAGATTTATCATCCGATTCTAGTACTGTAGCCATTAGTTTAAGAAACCTCACAAATATAATTAATAATGAGGGTTAACAAAATTTCAACCCATTATATGTCTTTGTACGATATGATGCAGCAACCAGCATGCTGCCGTAGTACCGCAGCGTAGAGCGCACAGCAGCAGTAAACAAGAACATCCAACTTGGCTCGTGGATTTTATTTGAACATCGTGTCTTCAGCATCGTTCAATTCTTAGACACATTTAAAGGTTCTCATCACGTATGTAACTTGTCGAATTACAAAAACTCGTGACTGAATCCATCCAAAAATATGTACTGTCTGTACTTTGTAAAACACTATGCAAAGCGAGTCAAATTCAGAGGACTATTAATGTAAGATAACGAGTCTTTATGTAGCAAGTGAAGAAGACATCGACATAGGAGGTATTTGTCAATTGCAAGTGCTTAACAACCATACACCCCTGGCTTAATTAAATGACTCATGGGTATCAAAGGATAAAGGAATGGAATATGGATATCTAAGGATTAGAGCAACATACATTGGGAAACGACTTGTTAGTCAGCATGCTCATCATTCATGATGTATCATGAGATGGTATTTCTTAAGGAGGCCCCTAGGCATCTTAGAACAAAGCCATTCGTTTAGAGAAGCAGTCCGTTTATACATTAAAATGCACACGTTTGTTACTTTTTAAAGCACGTAAGCAGCAGCGCTTTTAATTATAACGAGAGGATGGCTC